CCACTTCAAAATCCGATTAAGGTAAGTTGAGTTATGGAGCTTAGAACTTTAGCCTTAGACCATTTTTTAAGTTTCTTGAATTCCTCATCATCATAACATCAAAAAATTTACAAAAAATTAAAAAAAAAAAAATGTTTTCAATTTGAATGCAGATATTTAGAGAATTGCACCAGAAACATTTAGAGGTATGCCACTTCAAAATCCGCTTAAGATAAGTTGAGTTATGGAGCTTAGAACTTCAGCCTTGGGACATTTTTTAAGTTTCTTGAATATCTCATCATCATAACATCAAAAAATTTACAAAAAATTAAAAAAAAAAAAATTTTTTTAATTTGAATGCAGATATTTAGAGAATTGCACCAGAAACATTTAGAGGTATGCCACTTCAAAATCCGATTACGATAAATTGAGTTATGGAGTTTAGAACTTCAGCCTTGGGACATTTTTTAAGTTTCTTGAATTTCTCATCATCATAACATCAAAAAATTTACAAAAAATTAAAAAAAAAAAAATTTTTTAATTTGAATGCAGATATTTAGAGAATTGTGCCAGAAACATTTAGAGGTATGCCACTTCAAAATCCGATTAAGGTAAGTTGAGTTATGGAGCTTAGAACTTTAGCCTTAGACCATTTTTTAAGTTTCTTGAATTTCTCATCATCATAACATCAAAAAATTTACGAAAAATTAAAAACAAAGAAAATTTTTTAATTTGAACGCAGATATTTAGAGAATTGCACCAGAAACATTTAGAGGTATGCCACTTCAAAATCCGATTAAGATAAATTGAGTTATGGAGTTTAGAACTTCAGCCTTCGGACATTTTTTAATTTTATTTGAATTTCTACAACAATATCAAAATCAAAAATATTAAAAAAAAGATAGAATGCTTTAGTCGAGTTCCCCGGATATATACCCGTTACCCGTTACAATTTGACTATATTATATGTTATTATGTATCAAATGTTATTACGATGGGAATTATTTATGCATTGAATCAGTCGTTAATCAAACAAGAACATAAATAAATGAGATTTATTAAGGAAATTCCGGTGATTGTTTGTATTTGGGATTTTGGATTTTACTGCAAGTATGTATTAAGTGCTCTCAATTCGGATGACACATTAGATATATCAATTAAATGTAGTATGTGTCATCATCTAAGCGGATGCGAGGTGTTTTTTGATCCAAGGAACGTAGGAGGCAACTCTCGTGTAAACACCGGGAAAATTGGGACGAGCACACTCATAGCCAAAGAAAACCAGGCCGAGCAAGTAGAACCTATAGACATTTGTCTCTAGCTAAAAAGATTCCAAATGGTTAAATGGTAAATCATAAATTCCAATTACTCTTCTGCAAGTCACCGGCATTTTCGCTGGCCAACGAAATCATATCTGCGTCACGAATATGGACAATTAGCGGGCGGTTTGTAGTGAACCACCTTGGAGACAGCGCTGAAGTCCGAAGACTGAAGACTTGGCCAAAACTGGTTCGATGACTCACAGAAGAGGAGATTGTAACTGACCTGGGGCATCATGAGTGGTCCACCGGAATCCCCTTGACAGGCGTCCACGCTCGAGCTACCCGCGCACAGCACCTGCAAAGGATTTATTGGTGCATTTTAGTGGCTTCCACTGCCGCTCGGGAACTCCCCTTGGCTGGGGATGGCCCCGCTCACCTTGTCACTGAACTGGACGAACTGGAAAACGGACTTGTAGCTCTGCTCGCAGCTAAGGCGGGACACGATTGGCACCTGGGCATCTCTAAGCACCTGCGAGGTGACTCCCTGGTGCTTCACTGCGCCCCAGCCGGCCACAAAGGGATTCATGCCCACGAAGTCCTGCTGCAGAAACTTGGCCGCCTCCGGCAGGCAAATGGGCGAGATGTTACCTGGTCGTCATGGAAATATTAAAGATCCCAAGAATATGTCTCAATGGAATATATGTCTCAAATTAATATAGAAACAATGCGTACCTGGCAGTGCACCCACTACGTTTAGCTGAATCAGGGCTATGTCATTCGATATGGAGCTGAGATCGAAGTGCTCATGTACCACAGTTCTTCGAATACGAAGGTCCATTGCGCCCGGTTCAGCTGGATTGGAGAGATCATGGGCTCCCAGTCGCACCAAGGTCAACATCGGATTGATGCAATGCGCCGAGGTGATCACGTAGTGCGAATGAATCAAACTGCCACCGCAAAGGTACTTCAGTGCATTCCGATTGGTTTCCTCAAAGTAGCCCAGGGCAGCTATCCAGGGATAAGCTCCTGGTAGTTGAGTTGGCGGAAGTTAATTTAACATTTCAATAAACTGCTTTTCACAAAGTCTGTGGCACTTCATTACCTTTCCGCGCTTCCATACCACCCACAACTCGATTGGAAGTGGCACCACTAATGCCGCAGGCCGCGAACTCATGTGGAGCATGTGGTGCAGGTGGATCAGCTGGTGGGTTAAAGCTGGGATTCGCCACCTGGCTGCGAGGCGGAGTGGGCTGGAAAACCATCGGAGGAGCAGTAGAGGCCCCACTCAAGGGCGAGAAATGAAAGAATCCGAAGGGAGCTGCGGTGGTCAGAAACAGATCCTTCCTGCTTCTGCCATTTCCACTTCGATCCGTCGCACAGCACACCTAATCGGATGGAAGTACTAACTATTTACTTACTTAAACTTACTAACTTACTTATATAGAAATGTTAAAATTACAAATACAATAAATATGTTAAAATCAATTCAAAGTAATAATGTTAGAGTGCCAATTTGTGGTGTATCATCATTTCTTTAGGCAAAAAGTTTATCAAGTAAATGTCTAAAAATAAATGCAATTTAATGCGTAGTTGCCGATAATCATTTTAAACAATTTAGCAATTAGCATTAAAATTCAAAAGCATAACATTCCGAAAAAACTGAGAAATTACCATAAAAGTGGAGCCATCAAAGCCACATATGGACTGGCCCAGAAAGGTGTGGAACTCGTTGCCCTGGCCCTGGTACTCCTGCAAGAGCTGTGGACAGGAGGTCAGGGGCAGGCAGCTTCCAGGCCGGGATCGGGCATCTTGACAGGATTGGGCTGCAAGAGAAGGAGGTGATTGGGATGGGGCGTGGTTGAGGACTTTCTAATGCCAATTTAGTTGCCAATTCGGTTTGATTTGGATTTGGATTTAGTGATCGTTTTTATTTTGACTAATTTTGCGCTGTATATGCAAGTGTTTTTTTAAGTGTAGGGGTAGGTGCTTTGATTTTTTTGTGGTAAGAGGTGATCTTAGTAGAGTATCCGACGTCTCCGGCGACGACGCCGCCTACGTCCGGAATTAAGCGGCATGAAGACCATCATATCCGAACCGATTTTTGGTCCCGTGGACGAAAGCAGCGGCGAGTTCTGCTGCTGGCGAGGATCGATGCACGGACAGTTGGGCAGTGGACGCGCTCCGCCGGCCAGGCAAACCAACGGCTGGGATGGACACGTGGGCACCGGAACGGGCAGAGTGGTGCCAGCGGTGGTGGTGGTGGTGGTCAGTCCCGTCGTTGAGGTGGTGGGCAGCGTGGTGCTACTGGTGGTACTGGTAGTACTGGTGGTACTGGTAGTACTAGTGGTACTGGTGCTGGTCGTGATCAGGGGCGGCGTCACTGGCGGCTGCGGATTCGGAGGCGTAGGCTGGAACGTCGGGATCACTGCAGGTGTGGACGGAAGAGCGGGTTGGGGCGGTATTAGTGGACCAATCGGCTGCAGCGGCGGCGGGGGCGGCTGAGGATATGGTTGTCCCTGCGACGGCGGCAGGGCGTAGATGGGATAGTAACCTGGTGGGTACAGCGGGCACCAGCCCTTGATGCTGGCCAGATAGGACAGGAATGGCCAGAAGTACACCTTCACACAGAACTCGTCCAGCAGTACCATTTCCAATCCGTGTATTCGTATCCGTATCCGTTTATCCGTGCTTTCTGCTTAGCCACCAGGTGGCAACTGTCCACAGAACTCTATATTTTTGGCCAATTGCAGCTTGGCCAAGTGGAGCATGGCGGCCATAATGATTATAATTCAATTGTATTTTAGTGGGGCACAATTATCCAAAGAGTCGACTGAAACCACCAAGCTCAGGAGCGGATTGAGGTTATCGGGCGGTCAAAGGAGGTCTTTTAATTATTATATTTTTTTCACAAACTATGTTTCTAATGTTTCCATTATATTATATTATTTATTAATAGCTCCCGGTATATTTATAGTTTTTGAAAACAAAACCAAAGCGAATTTGTATGACTAAAGAACCCTATCCGAAATTCAACAAAGAGCATTCAATGCTTTTTGATCCATTACTCATATTATAAAGACATCACTAATGTGTTTAATGACTATTGGGAAATGCACATTAGAAAAAATTTAATTCTGTGCATTATTCAGGCCCCTAATTGCAGATCCAACGAATTCACACCGAAATGCATCGTTAATTGCGGGGAAATTAAAATAACTGGGCCAGTGGCGCTTGAAATCCGATTCAAATCATTTGTGGAGGAGGTCTGTTAAAATCGTTTGTTGGGTGTTAGATGATGTGCTCTGTGGGGTATTTGTTTATGTTGACACATTAAATGGAATGACACGATCACATAGCTTAAACAGATCTATTGGCACGATCGGCTTGGTATTTTTAAGCCCAATGGCTGAACTACATATAGAGATTCGCACAACTTACACTTGGCAGGCGGGAGGAGCGAGAGACCCATAAAAATTATTAGGAATTTATGAGCTTTCTGCAGGCCGGAGATCGCACACATTCTGATCCTATGAACTTCAACGACGAACTGAACCCGTGGGCCACTGACACACCGCAACTTAAGCGCCAATGGAGTGGGTGCCACCAAATGATATAATTGTGGCAATTTTCAAAATCAAATTAAATTTAATCGGCACCTGCTACCATTGCCCGCTTTTTTTTGGGGGATGAACTTGAAAAGTTGAAGGTGGGTGAAGCCCCCACTGAGGTTATGCGTAGCTCCCTGATGGCAGATCGAAATCCATTTCGGATGCGCTTATTTATTGTTGAGAAAGGAAGGTTCCATTAAATCTAAATGCCGACTACGACTACCTTGATAACGTGCTGTATATACGGGTATTTATATATAGGGTGTATGTGTGTGCGTGCTAGACATCGTCCGAGATCCGGATCAGGAGCTGGTGGGCAAACAGCTCTCTACTCGCGGTGCTTGCAGTCCAGGAAGAGCTGTGCCTGCGATTGCACGAAGCGGAAGATCTCGAGCAGCATCTCGTTGGAGGTCTTGCAGCTGCCCTGCTGCGGCTCGAAAAAGGTTCCAGGACCAGCTCCACCCACCGAACGCTTGCCCCAATCCGGCGAGAAGGTCAGCTATGCGGGTGAAATACATGAGCTATGGAAAAGGGATATGCTGTTGCACTGACTACTCACTTGACACTGGACGCAGGCCAGCAGCAGGAAGAGCACGGCTGCAACGAGGACTTCGCTCTTGGGATTCATGCTGAGTTCTATGCCGCTCCATTGCTGTTCAGCCCGTTTTTATACCCATTCAGCTCGAAAGGAAGACAGCTGGCAAGTAATTAACACAGCACTCGCAAGGATTCTTTGAAATTTTGTTTGGCTTTGGCCGACCTTTTCAATTCCAAGCGCGAACGTCATTAAAACATTCTTCTATGTGGAAGCGTTTGTGATTCTCCATGTGTTTATTCGAATTGCGCATATGTTTAATATTAAATTTAATTATATATTTATTTATGTACCATTAAATAAGTTCGTTAAATTAAGCAGTGTATAAGAGTTAAACAAGATTGCGGCTAAAGCAACTGTTGCAATACATTTGGCGAACAATAAACCATAGGATCCGGCTGGGGACATATACAAAAGTATTGTTAAGTGAGTTGTGCGCCTGGCAGCTGAGGATATAGTACAAAAATGTTGTGTGTGTAATACAGAGTTTGATGTTTTAGATTTCTACGCGCGAGAACGAGGCACTCAATTTGTTACAACAAAATCGGATTCTAAGCAGTTAATATATGTATACGTATATTAGTAGTAAATAACAATACAAATTACAATAACACATTATTACGTTTTGGCTTAATCGAAACAAACGTTCTGGGCTTAGTTATTGCATTATAAAAACAAATGGCCTGCGCGCCACGATTGGTAATAATTATGAAAACATTCGTCCTTAATTGTTGTCGTTGATCAACAAATAATATTACAAAAATATATGTAGAAATATATATGTATATATAAGATATTCGTGTGAATCTGTTGTATATATCTACCTATGTTTCGTGTTTCAGTTTGCATGTGACATGTGGCATTGTTAGTTGTCAGTTGTAAGAAGTTGGCGAAGCTTATTCGATTCCTTCGTTGAATGCGCCTGGGCAGGTAAGAAATGCACTTCGTTTGGGCTCGTTGACACGTTTTGCGCTGTTACTGGTTTCGGGTTACTGGTTTATCGTCTTCTCAACGGAATTCAAAGCTCAGTCGACGCGTGTTTTTCAAAAAATTTGGTGTTATACTCATTACATGTTGGCTCCTGCTTCCGCTGCGGCATTCAGGAGGTTCTCTGCACTTCCTTCTACATCAGGCAGCACTTCCTCTTGCCCTTCTTCTTGTAATCCTGCTCGATGAAGGGACGCTCGGCAATCTGGAACTTGCGCACGATCCTCACAAGCTCGTGGAAAGCCTGGTCGACGTTGACCCTCAGCTTGGCACTGCACTCGATGTAGGGGATCATCAGGTTGCGGCTGGTGTTCTGAGCCTCCTCCAGGGACACCTGCTGCTGGTGCTTCAGGTCGCACTTGTTGCCCACCATCAGCATGGGGAACTCGTCGCGATCCTTGACGCGCAGAATCTGCCGCTGGAACTTGGGGATCTCATCGAAGCTGGAATGATCGTTGAGCGCGAAGACGAGTAGAAATCCCTCGCCGGAGCGCATGTACTGCTCCCGCATGGCACTGAATTCCTCCTGGCCAGCCGTGTCCAGAACTAGGTAACAAATCAGATCATTATCAATCTGGTAGGGGTAAAGTAAAAGAACTTACTGTCCAATTTGGCTGGCACATCGTCGATGTTGCACTGCTTCGTGTACGAGTCTTCAATGGTGGGATCGTAGTCCGTGACGAAGTAGCTCTGCAAGATTAGGATTAAAATAATTATAGTACCCGCTGCCAAGGCCACAAACTACATAAATAAACATTATAAGACTGGTTTTTTGTGTGGGAGGGGTGCGTTTATCATTCCGCCTTTGATTTGTTTACACACGTCACTTTTATCATTCACTATCCACTATGCTCTATATATCTTCGGGAAAAGCTACAGCATATACACGAAAGATGTGCAGATGACGCAAATGACTAAAAATAAATGGAAACGGGCGGGCTTTGTGGTCGTGACCATGGCATACACTCTCGGGGAATCGATCGGCACACCCAGAAAACTGGGGGCTACGTCTATCGCAACTCCCTGGTTCTTGGCTTTGACCACTTGATCCCCAAATGGAGGTACACACGGGGGTGTGGCCACCCCGATGATGATGATGTTGATGGCGATGATCTCGGCCCGAAACTATGCACACGCATGTCCAAACACAGACGCACATCACAGTCGCTTGTTGCTTGTTTGTTGCTCTGGCCAAAACAAGGGCCGTTCCCCCTTCCACCGCCCCGTGCGCCATCGCCCCCCGCTTCCACATTCAAACGCCCCTGTAGAAAGCGACGTCACCAGGGATTGGGCAAATGCTGGGGGCCTTACCTGGATGAACTGTATCGTTATGGCCGACTTGCCCACGCCGCCGCCGCCGACGACCACCAGTTTGTACGTTTGCATCTGCATTTCCTCGTTTAAATCGACCAGTTGGCCAGCGAAATTCTTTTATTTTCTTTCCGCGACTGCACCAGTGTGACCGTTCAGAGGGTAACTGAGAAATGCAGCTCAGCATAGCAAAATAGGGTGTGCGTCTATGCTAAGCAATACTATCGATATCAACTATCTTTAGCCATATATCGAGTTTTGCCCATCACTAAGGCTAAGTCATCAAACGAAAAAAATACAGAAAAATTTGCCAAGGAATAGATAAAATTCTTTAAGTCAAGTTAACCCACGCGAAAAGGTGAAAAAGAACAAGCTAAATAGCCATTTTAACACGCAGTGTGTTCATTATCGAGTTGCCTTTGCGCCCGTGACCAATAAAACGCAGTGAAAATGGCCTTGAAAGTGCTGGTGGGCCAGAAGCTGATGAACGAGGTGGTGAAGTACAAGCCTCCACCACCCAAAAAGCAGGGCGTTACGTCCGCTGCGGGGGCGGGCGGCATGGAGTGGAGGGTGCTGGTGGTGGACAAGCTGGGTATGCGCATGGTGTCCGCCTGCACCAAGATGCACGAGATCAGCGCCGAGGGCATCACCCTGGTGGAGGACATCAACAAGAAGCGGGAGCCCCTGCCCACCATGGACGCGATCTACCTGATTACGCCGTCGGATGAGTCAGTGCGTGGGCTGATTCGAGACTTCGAGAATCCAGCAAGGCCCATGTATCGCTATGCCCATGTCTTCTTCACCGAAGTCTGTCCCGAGGAGCTCTTCAATGATCTGTGCAAGTCGTGCGCCGCCGGAAAGATCAAGACCCTGAAGGAGATAAACATTGCATTTTTGCCGTACGAATGTCAGGTGTTCTCGCTGGACTCGCCGGACACATTCCAATGCCTATACTCGCCGGCCTTTGCCTCCATTCGGAGCAAGCACATCGAGCGGATTGCCGAGCAAATAGCCACACTGTGCGCTACCCTCGGGGAATACCCAAATGTGCGCTACCGCAGCGACTGGGACAGGAACATCGATTTGGCCGCGTCGGTGCAGCAGAAGCTGGACGCCTACAAGGCCGACGATGCCACCATGGGCGAGGGTCCCGAGAAGGCCCGATCCCAGCTGCTGATCCTGGATCGCGGCTTTGACTGCGTGTCGCCACTGCTGCACGAGCTGACCCTCCAGGCCATGGCCTACGATTTGCTACCCATCGTCAACGATGTGTATCGCTACACGCCCGGCCCCAATCAGCCGGATAAGGAGGTGCTGCTGGACGAGAACGACGACTTGTGGGTGGAGCTGCGTCACGAGCATATCGCTGTGGTCTCCACACAGGTGACTCAGAACCTGAAGAAATTCACCGACTCTAAGCGCATGGGCTCGGCCGACAAGTCGTCGATGCGCGATCTCTCGCAGATGATCAAGAAGATGCCGCAGTACCAGAAGGAGCTGTCCAAGTACTCCACCCATTTGCATTTGGCCGAGGACTGCATGAAGTCCTACCAGAACTACGTGGACAAGTTGTGCCGTGTGGAACAGGATCTGGCCATGGGCACGGATGCTGAGGGCGAGAAGATCAAGGATCATATGCGCAACATTGTGCCCATCTTGCTGGACGCCAATGTCTCGAACTACGACAAAGTGCGCATCATTGCTCTCTATGTGATGATCAAGAACGGAATTTCCGAGGAGAACCTGACCAAGCTGTTCACGCATGCCCAGCTGTCGCCGAAGGATCAGGATATGGTGCGTAACCTTAGTTGCTTGGGCATCAATGTCATTGCAGATTCGCGAAAGAAGCAGTACTCGGTGCCGCGCAAGGAGCGGACCACAGAAAGCACCTACCAAATGTCCCGCTGGACCCCGGTGATCAAGGACATCATGGAGGATTGTATAGAGGACAAGCTCGATCTCCGCCACTTCCCCTTCCTCGAGGGCAGGGCCCAGAACACCAATTATCATGCCCCAACCAGTGCCCGCTATGGTCACTGGCACAAGGACAAGGGCCAGGCGCAGGTGAAGAACGTGCCCAGGCTCATTGTCTTCATTGTGGGCGGCGTGAGTATGTCCGAGATGCGGTGCGCCTACGAGGTGACCAATGCGGTTCGCAATTGGGAGGTCCTTGTGGGCTCTTCGCACATCCTGTCGCCCGAAATCTTCCTCAGCGATTTGGGCAGTCTCTCAAAGGAGGACTAAAGAACTTATTGGGTCGTAATCTTGTTAATGATTTTGTCACATTTATCGTGTTTAAAAATAGTTTGTTATTCCTTACCGAAGGTTCAAAATGATTCCTTAAGAAATTATTATACTAATTACATATTGCAATATATATTAAAAATACAATACATAAATTATATACGCATTACATAATATATTACAAATATATAGTATTTTATTCTTAGCCGAATATAAATAAATATTAACTTCAATAATACGCGTAGTATTATTTCAATTAAGCCCCTATACTGGCTCATATACTGTAGTACGAAATGTAGAAGAAAACACGGGACACGCATTCACAGCACCATAAAATATTCACCTCGGATTGCAATAAAGTTAAATGTATTTCCGAATTAGTCAAATTGAAAAAGTTATGGATGAGCCTGTGAAAATAACTCACATATTCGGCAAAATGACATATGAAAATAATGAAATGTTAACACTAAAGATAAATTATTGAACCAAATTTTCCTACGATCCGAATACTTTTCAAAAACTTATGATATACTTTGAAATTGGTCAATGATCGTATAATATAATTCGAACTATCTTAAAAATGCAAGTTCAAATTTTTGGCACCCGATGCATCTAAATGTATTGTAATTCCTTCAATACCCAATAAAGCTTACCAAAAAAATATCAAATTGTTTCCAAATTCAGTTGAACTTTTCAACCTATGAACTGAACGTTATTTTTATATTTTAATTTTGAATATTTATTTTTATCGACTATTATCCAAAAAAAAAAATCGGTTAGTGTGAAAAAAATACCAGGCCTAGCCGTTGTGTTTTGGCGCCCAAGGTACGGTCACACTGAAGTCCCACGCTTAAATTTGTTTGTGCGAATTCGTATAATTGCACATAAAATGCCGGAAGAACCACGGATTACGGTGGACGACAAGCGCAGTCACTTACCCTGGATTGAGAAGTACCGCCCCGCGAAGTTCAAGGAGATAGTGGGAAATGAGGATACCGTAGCAAGATTATCCGTCTTTGCCACCCAGGGAAATGCACCCAATATAATCATTGCCGTGAGTTTGTGTATACTGAAATATGTTAGGAGGTACTCATTGTGGTCAATAGGGTCCTCCTGGTGTGGGCAAGACAACCACCATACAGTGTCTGGCTAGGATTCTCCTGGGAGACAGCTACAAGGAGGCTGTGCTCGAGCTGAATGCCTCCAATGAGCGTGGAATCGATGTGGTCCGCAACAAGATCAAGATGTTTGCCCAGCAAAAGGTGACACTGCCGCGGGGCAGGCACAAGATTGTGATTCTGGACGAGGCTGACAGCATGACGGAGGGTGCCCAGCAGGCACTGCGCCGAACCATGGAGATCTACAGCAGCACAACGCGTTTTGCCCTGGCCTGCAACACCAGCGAGAAGATCATAGAGCCTATCCAGTCCCGTTGCGCAATGCTACGATTCACCAAGCTATCTGATGCGCAAGTTCTGGCCAAGCTCATCGAGGTGGCCAAGTGGGAGAAGCTTAACTACACGGAGGACGGACTGGAGGCCATCGTGTTCACCGCACAAGGTGACATGCGTCAGGGACTGAACAACCTGCAGTCCACCGCCCAGGGATTTGGCGACATCACCGCCGAAAACGTCTTTAAGGTCTGCGACGAGCCGCACCCGAAGCTCCTGGAGGAGATGATCCACCATTGCGCTGCCAACGACATACACAAGGCCTACAAAATCCTGGCCAAGCTGTGGAAGCTTGGATACTCGCCGGAGGACATCATTGCGAACATATTCCGGGTCTGCAAGCGCATTAACATCGACGAGCATCTGAAGCTGGACTTTATCCGGGAGATCGGCATCACCCACATGAAGATTATCGACGGGATCAACTCGCTGCTGCAGCTCACCGCCCTTCTGGCCAAACTCTGCATTGCCGCCGAGAAGCATTAGGTTTTATATCAACTTTAGGATTAGGATATTGGCAAGTTATTGAGAATATTTTTTAAAGTAATCTCACAGATAAATAAAAACGGAGTCCAAGAAGTATTTTTAAAAAGTGAATACAAGTGTACCTAAATTTGAAATTCTGTACCGTAAGTTTACAGAGTAGTTAATTGCTCTGTTAATTGCTCTTTCCCTTATGGTGTACTTATTCTATGTTTTCATTGGTGCCGTAAACTGAAATTATCGTATGACATTAGAAAATGTTTTTTTCTAGGACTGAATGAATAATCATTAGTTATTTACATAAAATCTAATAAGTTAGTTTAACATTTCTAGTATTTTCCTAGAAAAAACTGCATATAGTGCGCCCGCATTGAAAGGATTATCGCAGCACCGCAGAGCTGGCCACACTGTTTGCAGCGCTTAAGTAAAGTGAAATATGGCGAGTCTTGGGGGCCAACACGGAAATATTTCGACTAATCCAGAAGGTACGCATTGAAAACAGCCCGCTGCGAGTGCGAAATCGAAGGACGAAGCTCACCGCGTCTATAGCGATCGAAAATCGGCCAGGATCTACGCGTTTTCGGGGCGTTTTCAGTGGCCAAAAAGTGCTGGTCGACTGCGCAGCAAAACGGCACTCACACCACGGCCAAAAAGCAAAATCGGAGTGAAGAGAGAAAAACGAAGAAAAAAAAAAACAGCGAGGCGAGAGACAGAAAAAAGAAAAGAAAAGCCGAGAAGCCAAAAGTGTCTGCCCCCTAGAAATGGGGGGATATATGTATTTCGAGTTCCCCGATTCCGAACAGGAGTTTTGAGTTTATAAATAAGTTCCAGTCGGAAAAGTCGGAGGAACAAGGGAGAGGAAAACATACATTATTTTCCCGTACTTCTCTCTGTCTCTCTCGCTTCGTCATCGCAGCTGCTGCCGTGCGCTTGTGTGCGTGCGTGTGTGTGTGTGTTTTTGTGTCCCCCTCCTTCCTCGCTATTTCGCCTTCTTGTCACCTTTCCTTTTTGCCAAAACGCAACGGCAATTGATTTTCCCCACACGAAAACCAAAAGTCCGTGTAAAACTCCGGAAAATCGCAGCGAAACTCAACAGTCCATTTTTCTCGTACCTCTTTTGCAGTGGAAAACACAGCCAAGCGACCCGAAAGTCGCGAGGGCAGCGCCGAGCGAAAAGGTAAGCCTTCTATGCGGATTATCTCGCGGGTTACATAAAATCGGCACCAATGTATATCTCACATACGCACTATATGTAATCGCTTTAACATCACCTATAACTCGAACCACAGCCTACGCATTCGCACCTGCCAAGATCTCGGGCTGCAGCGCCGGCGCAACCTTGCATTGGTTCGCCCAGGTGGGCGGTCAAATCTCCGCCAGCGAAGACGACTCTCAAGGTAGTTGGCATTCCATTCAGGCTGCTCTAAAGTCTTCCACAGCCACGCCCCAAACTGTTCCGCCTCCAAAACGAATGCTATAAATGCTTGCCGCATGATCTCACTAACAAATAGGACCCATAGTCCGCCTTATCGCGATTTAATCCCCCAGAATACCACTGACACTGGTATATTGCTAGTTTTTCAGTACGGTTTTTCTAATAGGAAAATCTTCTTATCTATTCTCAACCATTGACACATTTGTATCCCCAGTAGTTACTTAACTGCCTGGAATGTTACTTACTAAAGTGAGTTAAAAAAAAAAACAAAGCATCTTGAATTTAATATCTAAAAGATTAAAATGTTATATCTAGACAAAAGGTCTAGCTTGATTTCAGATGCCAAATGGAATATTTAAACTCTAAATATAACAACTTTTAAAATATGTATAGTCATATTTGACTACATCATTGTTAGAATGCAAAACAAGGAATGATTAAGTTATTGGGAATTTGAATCGAAAGACAGCGTTCTTAAAATTTGTTTAAGTTAAATAAATATTTTTATTTGTAACACATTAAAAAAGTAGTTCAAAAGACACACCTCGAATTCAAATTTCACATAGATGGGAATGAAAGCACTCAGGCAATCACAAGAGTAAATGGAAAATTTTATCAAGCGAAAAATCAATTGCAAGATTCTTGGCTTTCCAAAAACACAAGCAAATTAAGCAGACAGTGGGTTAAAATCAAACAAATTTGCCTGCGACCTTGGCAGCTGATAATTTCTCATTAGCAAGATATTTTCGCACCTGTAACGGGCAAAAAGATTGACTTGCAGTTGTTCCTTTGTCGTCTTGCTTACGTCATGAAATTCCAAAAATATCTTAACCGATAAGGCGATAAGAACAGGTTCCCAGTTCGATTATGCAGACTTAGGCAGCCAAGCCGCATGCTACCAATATTATTATTATTGTTTATTTTTCGCACTTTTCCGCCTCAATGTCATTTCAATAGAACAAAATGTGCGCTTGCATTAGCTATTTGCTTTCTATTTTCCTTTTATAATTTTTTTTGTTCGCCCATTTTGCACATAAGCAAATTTGTAGCGGGGGCGGCGGCATTGTTGTCCGTGTATTTGTGCCATATTTGTTATTGTTGCTGCCGCTGCTAGTTTGTCAATTGACCCACAAAATGCGAATGTACATCGTCGATGACGTCAGTTCTCGGCTCTCATGTAAATAGCTCGCCGGCAAAAGTCGAAAAATGGGGTATAATACTATACATATTAAGCAGATATTTATCGATTTTTGTTGGGCCACAGGTAGCAGCAACTGCTGAAAATATTCCCAGTTTTATTTGCTTGCGAACCGTAACTTGTTTATCCAAATTCACTTTATGCCCTTATAAGTATGTGCGAATTCGAATCTCTATTCATTTTGATACGCTTTTAGCGTCCAAAGACCGTGAGGAGAAACTGAAATATGCCCGCGATCGCCAAAATGAGGAGCGCCACCGGAAGATCGAGGAGCTGCGCGCCCAGGCGGAGGCCGCCCAGCGGTACCGTGAACAAAAAGAGGAGGAGCGCCGTCGACGCATCGAGGAGATCCGTACCCGGGACACAGAGAAGCGACACCAGGTGGAGGAGCGCAAGAAGGCCATCTTTGAGGCCGAGAAGGAGCGTCGCGAGTACATCCTCAAAAAGAATCAGGTGCGTTGCGTTATCGCTTCGATTCCATTGAACTCTTACTATAATCCATATATGATCTCATATAGGAACGCGAATCCCGGATAGAATTCAGAAAGCGGGACAAAAACTCCAACGGCTTCGCTTTTGGCTCATCAACACCCCGCCTGCTGGATGTGCCCGCGGATTATGGTCTGGTGTCGCCCAGTACCTTTTGGGGTCAGCGGAGGTGAGTTCCGAATGAAAGTTATCTGAGCACAAAGCGAAAAGCTCACACAGAAGGCACACACTTATATGTAGCCATTCATGGCTATCTAGACTAGTATTTTGGCCGATTTCGTGTGTGCTCTGTGCTGCACATGACTAATTATCACTGTATTCTGATTGGCATGCTAAACTAGAGCCTAGACTTTTCATTACTTAATTATTTTTATCAGTTCTTGAACTTTTAATGACGAAATTGTTTGCCAATTGTTCAAATCATAATTCATATTATTATTGACTTAGTATATGAATCGAAATAAAAGCAAATAATTGGCTAATGTGAAAATAAATATAGTGAATTAGACGCCAATCAATTTTTGCGAAAGAAAACAGTTTCGCAATTCACAAGACTGTCATTGCATACATTGATATACTGAATCGTAAATACCTAATTTTTGTTTGAGTTCTAAAGAGGAATTTACCTTGCAGGTCCACATCCATATCGAACGTAGCGGGCGCCTCGCTCACACGTCGAAGTTCAGAGCGTGAACTTGCCGACAGTGGTGCTAAGAAGCGTGCCTCCTCATCGACGGACCGACAAGATGGTGAGTTGCGATGCCCCTGGCGGCACTTGAGTCACCCCCGAAACAGATATACACACACTCTTGAACACTCCACACTCGCTGAGACACCAGACACACATAATGAGATTAAATTTTACTTTGCAGTTATCGTTATCGTTACCTTAGACACACGTAAATCTTGTAATTGACAAGTCCCAGTTATTGTTTACATGTGCCCCGCAAACCGGAGATTTCTATAACCCTCTACTATGTTATCTCCCACTGTGCCCAGTTGGTGTACATGTGAATTACTATTATTGTATAGATACAAACCCCTAGCACCCACAGACTTCTCACACGGCACGATCACTTTGCGCTCCCTTTTTCTCTTTTTTTTTTTTTTATATTTGTTTTCCAATATGATTTGCACCCAAAGCAAACAGCAATTACACCTCTGTAACGTTCACTTCTATATTTGAAACAAATCGAAAAAACTACCGACTCCACACAGATCACCGACGCAAGTCTTCCTCCATGTATGAGGTGTTCAATTGGGGCTATTCCAATGACGAGCCGCCCAAGCGGTTCTCGCTCTCCATCGCCGGCAGCGAGATTAATATCGATGGGCCGGCCAATCCCAATCCGCCGCCCACTTCCAAACAAACAGCCAACGCGCACAGACCTACAAATCTCACAACAACCACAGCAACAAGCACCACAACTGCAGGCCACAACAACTTTAACAACCATAACTCGTATCGTAAGGGTGAGGGTTCTTCTACTCTTCTCAGCTCCTCCTCGTTCTTAACCCCTCTCGTTCTGACCCCGTTTTTTGTTTTTTGTTTTGCCGTAACCCCAATGCCAAAACCTAACCCTGTAACTCTCGTTGTCTCTACCCCCGTAACCCAAACCAATGGCATGTCTTGAACTCCTCAGTTTTGCATGATGTTTTTTCGCCGCCCAGTTTGTACAGATCCCAAGCGCTCTTCGTTGAAGCTAACTCCTCGAAAGCAGCATCGACCGTCTGTAAAGATTTCAACGTAGATCTCCAAAGAGCATGGTTATTTTGTACCGAAAGTGTTTACACTGACTGACAGTTGTGATTACCAATTTAGGTTATACAATTCGAGTTGAATATAAAACTAAGATAATCTGTTATGATTATAGCAATAACAACAGAAATTTCAGTGTAAACACTTAAGTTTGAGCTATTTCGCTTTTGGTTTCTGTCGTTCCTAGAAATTAAGTTTTTTCACATATAATTTTGAGGCCGGAATCGCAAGTGAATCATATCGGCAGTTGCATCTAAAAATCGAATATCAAAATCCAAAATCATGTACAAAACAAAAACCAACAACCCAAAACCCGAATATTGCAGAAGATAGCGTTGACTCATCACCCATGGTGTTCCGAAGCGTTTACCGCAGGAAAACGGACCTCATGCCGACAATACCCAGCCCCCGAGACGGGCATTATGGTTCGCGAGGCTCCCTGAGCTCCACGCCGGCCAGAACCCCAGGTAAGACCCACCCAACCGATCCTCCAGCCCATCCAACCAACACACTCCCATAGCTATCAGAATCATGCTCATCCAGCGATCAGCTTCATCGTCTAGCCACGCATCATCAGCTCTTCATTCGACATCCCTCCATCCGATTAGTTGTGTTTTCTTTTGGTTTAGCCCATTCCGGACCAAGAGTTGCCCTTAGCCCCTGACTTTTTACTGTCGATTCCCGGGTTCTCTGCTCCTTCGGCAGAGATATAGTGAGAAAATATGGAACACTTTCCCTTCCAGGCACCCGAAAACACCAGAACTTTATTCCACGCACTTGAAACACACTGTAAAAAACACACACCACCTGTAAACACCTTTTTCAATACACACCTTGTACACACCATTTTGTAGCCCAGTTTGTCCACATCTTTTTGTGAACTTTTCCTGTGATTGCAGTTGCGTTCGAAATAGTCAAGTTAATTTCTTTCTGAAATATAATTACATATTTTAAAGGTATTACATTTTAAATTAAATCTTATAAAATAAGTTGTTCTTACTGATTTTCATGATATAATAAATATAATTTTGAGTATTTTTCGAAGTTCTCGAATATTATTTCGAACGCAACCATGAGTAGTTAAGCGTAGCTCCCTAAGGATCCGCAGCCAGAGCCAGGCTCAAAAAAGATTCACGAAACCAATTTCAACTTTCAACTGAACCGCAGGACGGGCCTACTCGATGAACCGCTTGGACCAGCTGGCGCAGCCGATACGCCGGAATGGGGAGCACATGCGGGCGATTCTGGAGCGGGAACGCCGCGAGCGGGAGCTGGAGATGCTGGACGAGACCGCCTCGCTGGGCGGAGGAGGGGGGCGACGCGGTGCGGGGTCCAGTGCCCGAGCCCGGCGGGCGGGAAGCGCCGGAAGCGGCAGCTCCAGTGCCGCCGGCATTATGTCCCGCAGCATGACACACCTGGCCGGAGGAGGTGGCCAGCGGGAACGCGGAAAGTACTCGCTGGGAGGCGGCATATCGACCAGCTTCCGGCCGCTGGCCAGCGGAGCCGGAGGGCAGCGGGACTCCACCAGTAAGAGCATGTCACAGATTAGCAGTTGGTCGGTTTATGGCAGCACAGCACCACAGCAACCACCACCCAACCACCTGCACCACCTGCGCCAGTCCACACTCGGCCTGCAAACTGCGGCAACTAAGAAATACCTCCAGTCATCATTTGCCTCAGCCTCATCCTTCAACTCTGCATCTTTCCGCGCGAACGCGACTGGGCGTGGCCGGCAGCAGCAATATGCCAACTCTACTAACCCCCACCGTTTTCTCGACCTCGATCCCAACTCATTGTTGCTCATGAACTCTGCTAGTTTGTTAGTGAATGCAGGTGTGTGCGATTTAAACAAAAACCTAAATTACAACCAAACATCTCGAACTACCAACCAAAAAACACCAATCCAAGAACACACTAGCACCACCACCACACTACTCACTAAATCTAAAATCTAAATCCTCCGATTGCGGATAGCGTTGTAGCCATCTACCCATTTACTCGAGTACTTACTGATAGCCCCCACTACAAACCACTAGAACAACAACTCGCGCACCGAATTGGCTAACTTGAACTTTCACCACACTCCAAAAATCAAACTCGTACACCCGCATAGGCTTTGGTTGCCTGGTTCCCTCGGTTCATAGAGGACATACGAAGAACGACCGATCGAGGTTGTCTTTAGTTCATTTGAGCAGCAATTTGTGATCCACTTCCCATCTCATACGGTTTATAAGAGCATTGATGCAAGTCAATTCCATCCGCCAGTCCGTTTATGTGATACTTCCAGTAATAATAATCCAAACCTCACTTTCGATTCGATTCCATTCGATTAAAACCCTTGTAAACGAATCTAAGGAACGTATAGGTTCCTGAAACGCCGTATTTGTAAAAATTCCAAATTAATTCAAGATCATCATCATCACATTATCGTAATAGATCCTTTTTGGAGCTTCCCTGGCCCATATTGTCTGCTGCCTGTCGCCGTCTTTCGGTCGTTTTGTTCGTATGTATCCATAGTTACACTAGCTTTGGTCGGGTTTTCTTACATGGTGAAGCAAAGCCTACATCTATTTAATTGTTCTCATTATTATCATTTTGATTTCTATTTATTTTACATTTTAGCCATATCATAACATTGAATACGCATATAAACATAAGTATGTATGGGCTCAACTGAGTCTGTGTACTAGGTATATGATCTTAGTTCCTTGGTTTTATGTTCTGTATCCTCATTATGTTCGCTCGCTATATGTGTAAGCATTGGAATATATATCTTGTCTGTTGGTACTTTGGTTAACTTGTGTCCTACATTTGGTTTTGTGTTTCCCTGTGTTTCCCCCTGCAATACTGGTACTCTGGTGACGGTCACTACTCACGTACGCTTTATTTGGTGCTCCACATAAGCTCATCCATATTGACACCCATTGCCCCCCGTAATCCACATTCCGTAACTGTTCTAATTATGACTCGAATCTTTAGGCTCGCGATCGGGAAATGCCACGCCCGGTGGACACTTCAATAGCTCAAGGCCCGGCAGCGCCATGTCCACATCGACAAACATGTCCACATCCGGGATGGTGCCCAGGCGACCTGCAACAGCACCCCGGAAACCGAGGCCCGCCAGTATCGCCGGAACGGGCATGTCCCTCGAGGGTAAGTCCACTTAAGGAACACTTAGAACAAAATATGTAACAACACCTAATCCTTGTAGAGATTAACAAACTCAAGAGGGATCAAAAGCCGCCCGTGAAGACGACAGCCGCCTCGCCATCCGCACAAACGACACCCAAACGAACTGCAAACCTTATGTCCACCTCCCTGATCGTGACCTCCAGCTCATCGCGGCTGAGCAGCGCCGAAAAGAAGACGCCCTCAAAGCGGGTAAGATACTTACTCCTTTGAATACCATTGCATTTTTTAAATTTCATATGAATCTACAGGAGCCTCCGGTGCCCAAGGCAGCATCAGCCTCAAAGGCTCTGCCAAGTCGCACGGCCAGTTCCGAGCGCATCAGTAGGCTTACCAAGGAACCGAAAACCAAGGATACCTCTGCAATGACTAGGTCGATGATTGTCACCAGCAGCAGTACCTCCACCATCACAAAAGCGGCTCCTGCCCCGGCTGCACCCGCTTCGGCTCCAGTTCCCGAGCAGAATGGTGTGGCCAAGGAGGTTGAGAAGATTCCTGCAGATGAGCCAGTTCCTGAGGCTGAAGTTCCTACCGAGGCTCCTGTTGCTGTTCCATCAGTGAGCAAGGCTGAGAAGGAAGCATTGAACACGGAGAAAACGGAGGAAGTGGCGCGTCAGGAGGAGGAGCAAACTTTTGTGGAGGAACCTGTACCCGAAGCCTTGGTTACCTCAGTTAATGTAGAGGAAAAATCTGATGAGGGCACTGAAAAGGAGGTGCCTAAGCAGCAGGAGCAGGCTGTGCCCAAGAAACCATCGCGCAGCAAGGAGAATTCCGAGGTGCGGGAGCTGACCCCACCAGAGGGAGCTGATCTAATGACTGCTTCGATGATGGCCAAGAAGATCACGACCGAGGAGGAGGCCAAGGCCGCTTTGGCCGAGAGACGACGCCTGGCCCGCGAGGAGGCCGAACGACAGGCGGAATTAGAGCGCCAACGACTGGAGGCTGAACGCCTGGCAGAGATCAAAGCCCAAGAGGAGGAGGCGGAGCGCCAACGCCTGTTTGAGGAGGAATCCACTCGCCTGGCCGAGGAACAGCGCCGCGGGGAGGAGGAGCGCCTGCGCAAGGCCATCGAGGTAAGTTGGCGACGCCCAACCGGGAACAAAGAAAACAAAGGACCCTAATTTATTACTCACTGTGCTTCACAGGAAGCCCAACAGCGTGAGGAGGAGGAGAAACGCCGGCGCGAGGAGGAGGAGAAACAGCGCGTGGAGCGTGAGGAGGCCGAGAAGAAGGCCAAGGAGGAGGCAGAGAAGCAGCGTGTCGAGGTGGCTGAGCGCCTTAAGCGGGAGGAGAAGGAGCGCGAGGAACGCCGCAAGCGAGTGGAGGCCATCATGCTGCGTACCCGCAAGGGAGGCGCTGCCACCACACCCTCAAAGGTAGGAACTACAACCAAGCGTTGGTCAAAGCACTTAATTCCAAAATTAATTAAACCTATTAAAATGTATATTTTCAGGACGCTAACGACAAAGCAGCTCCTGCCGCACCGGCTCCAGAGAATAATAGCAGCAGCAACAGTAGCGTCACCGGGAGCAGCAACAACTCGGCTGAGGGTTCGCCCAGCACAGTAGATTCCACGCCAGCACCAACGGCATCGGAAACTGTCCAGGAGCCGCCAAACAGTCAGGCGATGTATGAGCAATCGGTGCTAGACAAGGAGAACTCGCTCATCAACAGCTTCTCCACGATGATCATCGATGAGAATGCCAAGAACCTGCAGCAGGTGAGCAACGGCAAGTTGCTGGTGGACTTTGAGGGCACCAATACTGTGCCCGCGGTTGCCAATGGCAATGGACACATTGAGAATGTCAACAACAAGAAGTAAGTGCAATGAAGTGGCTTGCTTTTAATTATCATTAACGTTCATATGAATTTTAGTGACATCAATCTGCTGCAGGACGTAGTCGCTCCGGTCGCCACCCAGCTGATAGACCTGAGCATCGAGTCACAAGATCTACACCTGAACAATAACAACAGCTTGCTGACGAGCACAGCGGCAACCACCACGCTAGTCACTGCTGATAGTCACGAGAATAAAGGTACTATTGATTATATATATTGCTCATAATGGTCCTTAATTGATCCCGTTTTTATCAACTCAGATATATCGCTGCTGTGAATTGGATGAGGAAACCAAACTGATTGTTTTCTAAACCTAAATCTTGATATAGCTAAATGTGTGTGGAGTCGGAGTATTTATTTATAGGATGAGATCTATATAGGAATGCGAGTGGATAGTGCGACAAATTATGGTTACTAAAAACAGGAAAACGTAAAAGCTTATAAAAACCTATATATTTAAACGTACACATTATATAGATAGATCTGAATCATAATCAGAACGGGAGTGATGATAAGACCGATCCCGAGCAGCTGCAGATAAAAAACTAGTTAAGAACTAAGACAAACCCTAAAAGAAAAAGCGTGAGATATGGAGGGGATCCTGCCCAGAGATCCCCGGGGATCGTTTGCGAAGCAATTTAATATCAAAGAAATCTGTTTGTGAAGTACTACAACTAAGCTAAAAAAAAGAACATTTGATGCAATTTTCGATTCGAATCGTTGCGTTTCGATATAATATAATTACAAACTCGCTTCAAAAGTTGAAAGTGCATGCTTACATTGAGTATAACTTGAGCCAGAGAGCAGGATAATCGCCTGGGCCGACGCCGAAGTAGCGTATATAATTGAAAATTATATAAAATTAGTAGACAAACCCCTAGTATAAACAACAACGCGAGATTCTATGGGGCACCCAGATCAAATTGTGTGTGCCGGGCCCCGAGCAAGCAATAAAAGAATACGAAGACGCGGTATCCACATACCATTAACCCATCCACATATACAGCGCCTCACTGCTAGGAGGGCATCCGACCCCCTCTTTATTTTTGCCCAACTTTGCACAGTTGTTCTGTAAGTTAAGTTTACTACGTTGAGCCAACGAATCGTGAGGTATTATTTATTAAAACAAAACGAAACAAACGAAAAAAAATAGAAAAAAGGAAATAAGGAAATTCAATTGAAATTATTTGCTGATACTGTTCGCAGTTCGTCGAGCAGATATATAGGTAGCCAGTAAACAATGAAACAATTACACGCGGATATATACACCCACTGTAATCACAGATGTCAGTGCTTGATATACACATGCCTAGGTCTAGTGGAGATGGCAGTTGTACCACGTTGTACTATTTGTAGTAGGAGTCCCAAATCTGATTATGCTTATGTCACCCTTTATTATAGGAAAGTTCTCTGTATATTATTGCGTCTATTTTGCGTCTACGTATATATTTTTTGGTAAACGATTTTTTATATATATACACATTTATATTTGTAATTTGTATTTATCCATGTGCAAAAATAAATTATGATGATTATTTTTTAAAGAGTCGTCCCCCTCTAAGCATGCATAACAGAGTGTAAAAATGAATCGATTTATATATAATATCATCCCCCATAGTCTACGAAACTCACACACCCACTTGTATCTGAGCGAAAGGGCCTTAACAATTAGTAGGATGCATGATCGATGTAGATCGGTTATTAAACAGATATAGCAGGCAGATTAGGGAGAGTTAATCTTCGAGCGTTTCGCATGCGCAAACCGTTAATAGAATAATATATTATAATGGCAATATGTGTATGCAACTAATAAGCCCTAACTTCTAGTTAATTACTGCTTTCCTATGTTAAACACCTAATGGCGATATAATCAAAACAAAAGACAAGCCCACATAAGTCAAATGTGTATGCTACCAACATAACAAACCTTTGAAGATCAAGCTGAATTATGTATTTCTAATATTAAATATCACACACCCACAAAGAAAACGAAAAAACCAACACAACAAATAGAACAACAAATTATACAAGCAATTCCCTTATTTATTTAGAACCACACTGAAACACTAAAGAAATTCGCTTCTTATCGTAAATCCACAATTGCATAATTTATACGATTAAACAAAATATATATTTATGTGAATAAACTGTAACTAATTCTCAAGGCAACCATCTAAAGGCGATTTGCTACTTGTTGGCTTCCAGAAAGTCCCCCAAAATGTCATGGTCATCAGAATGGAATGCTGTTGCAACACACTCTTGATAAGCGGGAACATGGGAAGTTACGAATGGAACTTTACTCTGGGGAATCTTATCGGATAGTTAGTACACATCCAAAAAGTAGTACTTGAAATGTTCATTCATATTAAAAAAAAGCAAAGTGCGTTGCGGAATTCTAAATTACTCAGATGCATTAGCTTTTCGAAACCTTTTGAAATGCACCAGAAATTTTGAAGTAATAGTAGAGTACACTTTTTTCCAGTGCTCGATAGTTCCACGGTTTATTGTTTTAAGAACAACCCGTTAAAAAAGCGGTATGACATCACCAATGCCATCACAACAAATCAGCTGACGCTGATAAGCGACAAAAACAAGAGAGCGAGAGCGCAGCTTGGAGCTTTTATGCTCTCTTTCCAGTGTTGTGAACTCTAAGCTATGTAGGTACCTACGGTTCCACTTGCAGGTTTTATTTATTTAATGTTTACAGAACCTGTTGAATTATGCTGGAATATACACTTCGTAGAATAGGTTGCCGAACCAACAATATATGTCAGTGATTTAATTTCTTAGGAAACTTATAGCCGATGTACCCAACCTAGGTACAAAAACTAGTGCGCTTTCCAGCACTGAGCTGTCGCCTCGGTTTGAAAGGTTTCCTCGGTCTCCCTGCCTCGGACGTTTTTCATAACGTAGTAAGCTCTCGTTGCGAACGGACGTAGCCCAACCAACCTGGCCTTAACCCTTGCGCTCCCTCCGATTTATTCCGCGAATAACACATTCCAGTGGACGGACAGTGGTGCAATTCAGCCCAAGACCAACCTACATTTTAGCTCCCTGCAAACCCGTTTCTTCACCGAATCACTATGGCGTCCAACCGTGCAGCGAAGTCTGGTTTTGCCGCCGAGGCCCAGCGCAAAGTAAGTACAAAATAGCAACAACCACATGCGAAGTGAACTCCCCACCCAAAAACTAAAAAGCGCCAAACAAACAACAACAACACATTAAACAAATTGCCCAAAAAATCCACTTTTGCATGGGTGTGCGTGCGCGTGAGTTTGGAAGCTGCATTGACTTTATTTGGCGCTGCGATGCCAAGATTTTATCTCCGCGCGCCAAATGCCAAAAATTAGCCAAAAATGGTCTTGAATTTGCCAGCGTCTAACAAGGAATGACCTCATTTCGTTGATAAGTCGAACAAGTATCTATGTGCATATGTGTATATAGAGGTATACATATGTACAGACACACATGTGTGATGCATGCGTAATTTGAAAGCTTGAAGATGATTTAGGTGAATTTGAGGCATTGTCAGTGCGGGTGATTCAAATCGAAGCTGAGGCAAACAGTTGGTCATCCATAAATCAAACTATTTGTGGTCGATATAGTTAGTCAGACTCTATAAATGAATAAGGCTCCTATTTTAAGTATGAAGTAATACAAAAAGATTTATTTGAAAGGGCTTCAATACAGTATTTTGAAAGAATTTGGATCTGGCAATCGTGGCTACCAACTGTAGAGTATCGACTGTGGCAGGCAGACCCATTTGGATGATCTCAACGCAACTATTGCAGTGTGGTAGCTTCCCCAGTGTAAATTGACAACATTAGTTCCGTCCATTAGCAGCACTTTGCCTTAAATGCACTCATACAAATGCATCGGTCTTTGGTGGGGGCACCCTTCGGCCATTTAGCCCTGGTCGTCAAGTCGGGGTTACGCAATTCAAGCCGCCCCTGGTCACCCAGAGTGAAATTGTATACATATGTATGTCGCCGGCACAGGGGATTAAGTGCAGTCCAGCAAAATCCGCAGCAAGACAACTACAACATTACAGCATTGCCCAAACAAAAAACGAAAAAATAACCGAGATTACGATAGCCGAAGTTTTGTATACCCTTGAGGGGCACTTTACCATCAATGTCTTGTTGGCGAAGGCAAAATTAAATATTTTGTTTTGGTTTGCTTTGCTTATCTGGAGGCTTTTTACCCGAATTTCATTCTCTCGAGTCAGCCATTTAGCAAGAGGCCTTGTTTATCGGAATTATCTGCACTGCCGCATCTTTAAATCACAGTTGTGGTTAAAATTGTAGTATCCGGTAAAACATCTTATCTGAAAGCGAAATTAAGTTGTTTTATTGGTGATTTTAGGAAATATTTGTAGTACTCTGTAGCGTTTATTTAGGCCATGCCATTTTAGGCCCCAACACATTGGAAAATACTAATATTCCAGCCCGAACTGTAGCTCGCTGGAACTGGGGATAGGAAGAACCTTGGGATAGGGTATTGCAAACCATAGAATGAGAAATAGAGGCGATGGCCATTTCAGTTTCCGCGATGCCTGAGAGCGCAGCTGCTGGCGCGACTCCAGGCCGCGATCAAATGGCTCCCCAGGAGCTGAAGGCGATGATGTCATCCCTCCAGCTGTCCCGCCGCCGTGCTCCTCGATCCCTGCGCAATCCATTCAACTCGAAGGCGTTGTTAGTTTTGAGCACTTCTGCCGGTCGGTCGCTGCGCATCACTCATATCTTCTGGGGGTTCGGGCTTTCGAGTTTTGGAGGTGACAGGAGGAAGAGGCGATAGCAGCACCTTTTCCACCACATGAGCACTTAAAACCGACTATGTGGCGTAAGCAAACAGCAAGACAAAAGTGAGGTAAAGAGGTATGAAAGCAATATTTTTGTTTGCCTCATGGGTTCTCTACAGTCTGTGCTTGCGTGTGTGCTTTTCCGACTTTTACGACCAGTCACCGACAAATTGGCATGGATCTCAAGTTTCGGACAAGGCATTCGTAGCCCCTTTAGTTTCAACCCTTTCCTGGGATCGTAGCACCCTAATTACGGAACCATTTTCCCTCAAACTCACACCACCAGCTGTCGGGAAAGTTCTACGAATGAAGCCGAAAGGTTTCGAGTTACTCAAAGTATGTTTACTAATTTGTAACTACATGTGTATGATAGCATAAACAATTGAACATATTACTTTACCATTCTCAATTTTTAGCGTAATACTAACAAAAAGACTGGACTGTAAGAAAGCCGGACTGTAATTATTTTCTTGTCGAACTCCCTCCACGTTCGTAGCTGTATCTCAGCCATTGGAACATGGGCCACGTACTAATCACCTGGCCTTTTTCGGAGTCAAGAATCCACACTCAATTAGCGCTGCATATATGAAAGACACCGTGTACATTTGTACATCCGCAGCACGCACCTCCCTGTATCTATGTACATATCCGTATAGATATCTCTATCAGGGCGGGCGACACGTAAATGGAACACTTGGCCCACATGAACTCCGTGCTACTCCGTAGTGCTACTCCTAGATGGGTAAACCCGCGGTAGCCCTCGCATTGCCGAACCTCTGCCCCAAAAAATAAAACACTTGTTGGCCGTCAGTCGTTTCTAGATAAGCCATAAATAGTTGCGGGAGGAGGTCGCCAGCGGCTTTATCGTACATCAAATGTTGTTTTGGATTTCCGGTGAAACTACTCCAAGCAGCGAAAACACCTCGACAAATGGAAATGGAATGAAGTTCTGCACCCCGTCCAAATCCCTCCCAAAAATGGCACTCGATTGGGGCCTATACAACTCAGTCAACTGAACTCGAAGCTGGTTGTAAACCAGACTCAGAAATCATATAATTGACCTCGTTAAATTTTTGCGGATTTTGTTTATGTTATCGTTGTGGCATTTTTGTCGTTTTCCCATTTATTTATCCACCCGAAAGATATCGGTCAGCAATTGTCATGGATCATGACGCACTCGCATCGCGAAAGAAAGCGAATTCGGCGGTGGCATTGTGAATAATCAACAGAAATGGACATTTCGTGGATTGATTTTTCGAAGACTCGATTACGTAATGCTTGCCTGGCGATGCGTCAACTGCCAGCGATCCCTTCCGAAGCAAACACATTTAACTACTCATCACCATCTACATCTATCTTCGCTGAAATATTGCCAAAGTTCAAATCCAAGCCATAACGATGCCATGACATCATCGGCGGCTTCAGAAAGCCATCAGCCAAGCAAAACGTGCCCTGTCTCTTTTTTAGTGATCCTACAATGGATTATTATGCAATGATCATCAGTCTGGGGCTCCTCGCCGGTTTTTGGGCTAAATTTATACAGAAACTCGGCTGGATGGGCGGAAACTTCCGTCAAACTTGCAACAGGGATTTACTCTTTTTTCGAAGCTAAAAACGTTTTTAGAATTCTAGAGATACTTTCCGAAGCTCACCAATCAAAGTGGAAGCTACCGCTTAGAAATCCATAAAATCCATAAAATCCATAAAAGATGATCCATACGATCCTTAAAAGTTATTCCTTATCTTGTAAAGACTTCAACCTCAATTATTTGAAGTATTTCATTTCGTGACTACGCTTAATATTATAAGTGACATAAGTAACTCCCTTCCGCAGTTTCGGAAACTTCCACAAAACTTTGAGTCTAAAATTTGCAGCGAAGTGAATTCTCGGAACTCTCACCCAATTGTGAAGACTGAATCATGATGAACATACATAAATAATAATGTTATGTTGTACCAAAACATTTTCACTTTTCAAGTGGCGTAGGTGTGAATTGAATTGAGTTGGCGTGGGCAGGCCCTCTCCCAAGAAACTGGACATTTTTCGGAGTTTGCGTTTCTGCTGGCCCCCAGTTTTTAGGTTTTTTCGTTTGGAAAGCCAGGAATTGTATGCGGGCAGCTTGCTCAGCCAGTTTGCGAGTAATTTTAATTTTAATTTCACTAAAAGCCAGCCAGGCTTGGCTTGGCATGTCTCGGCCACTAATGCGCATTGCGTGTGGAATGCCATCCACCCAGAACGCACTTGAACGAGAGACCCAACCCCATGGAATACATTGTACGAGATCATGGGCTGGGAAATTAATTAGGTTCTTGAGTCTACTGAGCTTTTCATTGTCACGCCGTTTTGTAATGGCCCGTAAACGTGGCTAACTAATCAAGTGACCCAGTGAGCCAAAAAAAAGAAAAACGATTTATAATGTCCACTAGGGAATCATAAGGAAATCATAATTTCTAACGGCAGACGATGACCAATTTACAGTTCCGCTTCAAATTATTGTGTTTCATACGTTTTGAGTTTCTATCAAGCGGCGGCTTTCGTCTGGAATTCCGCACTCCCGATAAGGCAGTACGTTCTAACCAGCTGTACATATGTTTTAGAGAAATATTTATATATCTGTATGTACATATGGGGTGTACTCCATTACTGGCTGTACTTATGGCCCGGCATTCGATCGTCGTTGAGTTTCGAGGCGACCTCATAGCGCCAAACCGAACAAAAAACACAAATGAGCTCGCTGGCTGGCTGCTGACTCATTAAAACAGCGCTAAAAATATGTATTTTAGTAAGCGAGGGGAGCAGAAGTCGAATCTTTGGAAGAATCGGCAAAAAACTTGGCTATTCCTCACCATTTTTCATTTAGTTCCGAACATTGTTCGTCCGTCGGGGACCACCAACTGTCAAATTTGTTTGCGGATTTGGGGTTTGAGAACCCAAAAAACGTGTAAGAAACGATCGGAATTCATTAGGCTCTTAACGGATTTGCTTCTACGATTATTATGTATGAATAGTATGCATAAACTGGCCGCAGAATCCCATAAGCATATTCCGATTCATATTCCTAATCAAAATTTATTCATCTGGCCCGAGGGTGTCAATTTATCTGCCACCATCAGGGGCTCTAAGTTATGATCATCAACTTCTGGCTGCGGCCAGATTCCAGAATGTCAATCAGAAATTGCTTTTATTAATTGTCTCACGCTTTCGATGATGAATGGTGCTGTTATTGGGGTTCCGTTCATCGCTCTTTTTGGGCTCTAATGAACTGACCTCTGCTGTTAAGTGCTTGACCGTTAACTGAAAAACTCGGACAAAGCAATTTGGCCAACGGTCGATTGCAATTATTGATAATTTTAATTTTTTCCATTTTCGGCCAGCAAGCTTGGAAGATAAAGCCATTTCCAGGCGATTACCATATTCTGCATATCTCACTGAAAGATCGGTAGCTGTTATTGGGCTCGAACAACGAAAAAGTCGTAAATTTTTAATCTTCCATAGCTCCGGACTTCTGTTGCTCGAAAAGGGAGTGTTGAACTTAGATGGTGTGGGGTAATATGTGTGCAAGGTGCATTCACCTCCATTAAGTACACAAAAACATGGGGAAGAGCGTCAGGACTGTATTTCACTTTTATTTTACTGCATCGCCAACTTCTCCCCCATTTCCCACCAATTTGTGGGCTTGCATTTCCCCATCTCGAGCGATAAGGAGTGGAATACAACTCAATTGGCGACAATCGTTCATTTGTTTGCTCTGAGATCATTCGTTTTAATAGACTTGCCAGTCAGAACAAAAAATCAACCAAATACTAAATAGTAATACAATGCAGGGTAAATTAATAGGCCCCCTTTAAGGAAAAACAAAACAGAACTAACAACATTTTTGTTCCACCAATAAAAAATGTATAGATTTGAACGCTATTCAATCAAACTTTATCTATAGACATACCCAATCTTATCATATACATATACATATTTCATTCATATTGTACTGAATATTGTTTGATGGCGGAATAATATACTTAGTTCGAAAGATAAAACCAAAAAACCAGAATTCAACTTTGTATAATATTTAATTCACATTGTGTGCTTTTGATAACTCTACTATCACTGTTTTTAGTACTTGAACTTTCTGTGTAATGACAGCTAATCTAAAATCTGTTAGCGACAGCGTTCCAATTCAATCAAATAAATCTAATAAATACGTGTTAAGTGAGTCGCTGTGATATGACCCGTAGTTTGCTAACATTTTGATTGGGATTTTTATTGGCAAGCTGGCAAATGGTAACCCAACACGCAACGATTTTGCGGTTTGTTTTGGGACTCCGGCTTTTGTGGTTTTGCCATGGAGTGGAAATGGCATTAGAAGTGGGGGCCAGATGCTCAACAAGTGGCTTTTTGTCTGTGGCCAAAATCGGTGCGAAGGACGCCCAAGCGGCCGGTAAACTTACGACCATATATGGTCAAGACGTTCAGCTTTAAAGCGGGCTTTAAGCTGCCAACCGAAGCTATCGGCATTGGCAAATATGGATACTTACTATTCTACCTGAGAACATGTGAACGTGACTGACTTTTATAAGTTGAGCAAACCGAGTAATGGAATATGCGAAAATGGGGAGTGCCGGTGGGAGAAATGAGAGCTGCAATCTTATCCTTATCGGAGCTTGAAATATAACCGCCAAATTGTCACGAGTGCGAGACAAGGGAGAGGCGGAGTGAGCAGCACTTTTATAACCAATTAATGATAAGTCTGCTATCAGCGATATTTCATGCGATAAGCGAGGGGAAATAGCCCACAAGTAAAATAGTGGCCTGTACTTGATTTAACACCCGATTGGGCATTCAGTCTACCAAGTGCAGCAGCCAGACAGGGATTAGCCGAAAATGTACCAGTCCAAGGTGAAATGGGCACCTTCTCCTTTTACCACTCAGTACCATTTTCTAAACCATCAACTGTTTCCCTACTTTGCAGATTAACTCCAAGTACAGCGAGGAGCTGGCCCAGGAGAGCCTCGAGTGGATCAAGGCTGTCACCGAGGAGCCCATCAACACATCCGGCGACACCGACAACTTCTTCGAGGTGCTCAAGGATGGCGTTATCTTGTGCAAACTGGCCAACGCCCTGCAGCCCGGCTCCATCAAGAAGATCAACGAGAGCAAAATGGCCTTCAAGTGCATGGAGAACATCTCGGCCTTCCTTGCGTGCGCCAAGAACTTCGGTGTCCCCACCCAGGAGACCTTCCAGAGCGTTGATCTGTGGGAGCGCCAGAATCTGAACTCGGTGGTTATCTGCCTGCAGTCGCTGGGTCGCAAGGTGAGCCGATTACTCTGGAGTAATTCCATCGATTAATAATACTAATATATGTGTTTCGCTGTTTAATAGGCCTCCAACTTCAACAAGCCATCGATTGGCCCCAAGGAGGCCGACAAGAACGTGAGGAACTTCAGCGACGAGCAGCTGCGCGCCGGCGCCAACGTCATCTCCCTGCAGTACGGATCGAACAAGGGTGCCACCCAGTCCGGCATCAACTTCGGCAACACCCGGCACATGTAGATCGGTGTCCTGCAGCCAGGATCCTCCGCCCACACTTCGCTCTCAGACATTCCGCATTCCGCAATGGAAGACCAAACCAAAATGCCAACATCTGACGCAGCCGCTTTTGGGTTCCACACACTTTTCACGTTTTGAGCTAGATTTGGGAAGAGCCCCTGAATGATATGATATGGATATGGATATATATTTATGATACCAATTTGTATTTGTATTCCAATTGACCAGGCGTATGCTGTTATGTAATAACATAAACTACTTTAATTTAATATTATTAAGTACTCGTACATACGGATCTTAGGATGATTTATTCTATTTTCAACATTTGCATTTGCGACACGATCGTTTTGGATTAGTTTCGTTCTATATAAACCGCACTCAGATTCGTTCTGTGCCATCGAAGATAGTGGGAGATTGTCCCCATGCAAAGTGAGATAATAAGTGATCATCGGATCGGAAACGAAATGAATTGTGTTTGATGAATGTGTCTTCTATCTCGTAGAGTAACGATTACAAGTTGTTTCGAACTAACCACCTGAATATCAATAAAAAACGCAGAGCATTTACAATAATGTATTTACAGGCAGAGAAAATATACGTGTTACACACTTTTGAATGATCTATTTTAAATAATGTCCCCTGTTGAAAATAAATAATTATTCTATTAACATATATTGCTGTTTTATGGCTTACTTGTATCTTGACGGTAAAATGTTGGGTGCTATCATTATTTAAGAAATCGTAGTTAATGGTAGAATCCAATTAACAAGACATTTAACTAAGATACCTTTCCTATAAAATTTTTCCTACGCCCATGAAGAATACTTGAATTGAAGTGAAGTATAATTCTGCCGTATTTTTTTTAGCCAACCCAGTTGCCGCCAAATTAAAGAGAGTATCATGTTTTGTAACAATTACATATAATTTATTTGATTTCAAAACAAATTAATTGTTGCATGCGTTGACATTCTTGACCGAAACCGGCCGAACCAAGGTCTTCATTCGAAAGTTGCAATTTCGATTGTGAATAAAATTTCGGGGCATCTCAGAATATGCGGACATCGAATAACAATTATAAAATAATTTTATACGATCGCTTACATTAAATAGAACAAATTGTACAGTCGTTGACAATGTGTTTGCATTCGTGCATTCACCTAGGAGTATTTTGATAAAGATTCGAGACATCGTTAGCTAAGTTAGACGAATATTCAGCACGTTGAACTAAAGCAATTATATTCGAGGCGGTAATACATGGTTGTAATTTGTGAGTCTAGCCGGCATTTAGCAGAAGTTCAGCTGCCACCTCCAAGCTCCAGTTGGTCTGCTGCAACGCCTGCTCACACTGTGGCCGTGCAGCCACCCCTAACCTCGCCAGTTGGTCGATCTTGTAGTGGCGCGTGGCTAGACCCACATCACCGCTGGCCGCGCGCAATGCATTGCGCACATCCTGCTCCACCGCGGAGTTGCCCAGTTCCTGCATAAGCTGCTGGAGTTTCTCCTGTTCGCGTCCGTAGTCGGAGGGCACTGGCGCGTAAAGCTGATGGGCTCCGTCCAGCTGCTGCTGTTGCTGCAGCCGCATCTTCTCCATCCTTCGTTGGATCTGCTGTGCAGAGAGGGGAGGTGGCGCCAGAGGAGCAGGTCGAGTTGGCCGCAGGTAGTCATCCTGAGTCACTTCATCGTACAGAACAGCACCACTGCCATTCGGCACTTGGCCGTAGTATGTGGAGCCCGCCGTGCTGGCCGCCACTGCATCGTACAGGGAGGCGGTGGAGGAGTACGCATTGTTTTTGGGTGCCACCACTCGATTGGATATAGCCACAAACGAATGGTTCAACTCCTGCTGCTGCTGCTGGTGATGATTTTGGTAGATCTGCTCCTCTGCCTGCTCCGGCGGCGGCTGGGCATAGTACTCGGACTGCGTGGATGCCACTTGCTCATACCAAATACGATTCACCACACTTTGGGTGGTAGCTGCCGCAGCCGCTGCTGCCTCCACATTGTTCTGCTTGGGCGACGCGGTTGAAGAGGGACTGGAATGATTCGAGTGGACTGAACCGGGAGTTACTCCGTTCTTTAAGGGCGTGAGATTCTGCTTATACACTATGTCCTTGCTGGCATACATCTGCGTAGAATTGCGCTGGTATTCCTCCTGCGCTCTGTTTTGCCCGTTGCTGTACATGTCCTTCTCCAGTTCGGCGATGAAGGACTTGTCCAGCAGCACTCCGTCAGCAGGAGGAGCAGGAACTGGCTCCACAGGCTGGCTGCTGATGGTCGTGATGTCGTGTCGCTCCAAAGCCAGATTACTGAGATTTAGCTGCATAGCCGCTGATTCCAGGGCAGGTATGTTCTCTTTATTCGAGTTGGAGCCACCGAAAAGGCTCTTCCTGACCGAAGGACTATTATAAATGGGTGCTGGTGGAGTAGCTGCCTCCAGAGAATGGTTGAAATTCGAGTAGAGTGCCACAGCCGTTTCAACGTTTGTGGTGTCGAAGGGATCTCGCTCCCTTACTGGCGTCGCTAGCTGCTGTTGTTGAAGGTCTCGTTTTTGGACGAACTCCATTGTATTCGAGTAAGTGGGTGGCATCTGGTAAGGCGGCGGTTGCAGGCGCCCTGGTGAAGCTGTCACATTGGCCGGATCAAAGTCAAACTGTGGCTGCTCATTGTAGTACGTGGGGGAAACATTAAGATCCCCCGATCCACTGGAGCCGGCATAAGTGGGCACATCTATGGGAGCGTCTAGTATGCAAAAGGAGCTGTCCGCCTGCAGAGAAGAACTATCGCCTGCTCCCTTAGGTCCGTCTGCTCCACCTTCGGCTATGGGTCGCATGTCGGGCGAGATGTCGATGAGTATGCCCTCCTGTTGAAACTGCGGCGGTGGGGGACGCTGCGGACCCACCACTGCTCCCTTATGCTTCACTGCATTTCGTCGATGAAGGCCCGCCGCGGCCTCATTGACCAGCTTGTTGTAGGCGAACTGCTTGCTGGACGTGGACTTGCGTTCCTTGGCGTGGGGCTGGTTTGTCAACGAGGCACACTTTCGCTGCCGATCCTCTCCGTTGGCCATGGCAGCTGCTCCACCCCAACAGAAGCCGAATGGCGATGATGTCGAACCATTGCCAACGCTGGTTCGCATTAGCACATCTCCGGCAGCACCCACTTTCCGCTGCTCCAGCAGGTTCCGGGGAAAAATTCCTATGTCGAATGTTCGCTGGTTCTGGCCCTTTATCAACTTCAGTTCGTGCCGTCCATCGATAATGGCGATTGTGTCGCCAGGCTCGATCTGCAGTCCCTTGGACTCGTGGTGACTTCGGGAGGCACGCATCACAGGAGGCGACATACTGGCCAGATATTCTCTGCAAGGCAAGGATGGAAATTATACGAATATAAATAAGAAATGATTAAAAGGAAACATACTTGAGAGCAGCAAATGTGGGTCGCTCTGCTGGCGTTTTATCCCAGCATTGCAGCATCATAGCATAAACGTCCGGTGGACAGGCGTCCGGCTGATGTAGTCGTTCGCCTTCGCGATCGATTTTGCGCAGGATCTGCGAGCCATTGAGTCCCACCCAGGGATCTTCGCCAAAGCTAAACATCTCCCACAGCGTCACGCCGAACATCCAGGTGTCAGAGGCGTGCGAGAATTGGCGGAAGCGCAGCGATTCAGGAGCGCACCAGGGAAAAGGCACCTTCTTGTGCTCAGACATCACATAGCAATCATCTTCTTGCGGCAAGGCACGCATCAGGCCAAAATCTCCGATCTTGATCTTATTTCCAGCTGCCAGGAGGACATTCCTGCAGGCCAGATCGCGATGCAGAAAGCGCTTCTGTTCCAGATAGGCCATGCCAGTCACAATCTGCACCGACCAGTTCCAGATGACGGTCAGCGAGGTATGCCGGCACTGTTTTCGCAGCGTATCCAGCAGCGACCCTCGCTCCGCCAGCTCTGTAATCATCATCATTGGCTGGGATAAAACCACGCCGTAGAGCCGCACTAGATTCGCATGATCCAGGGCGTGCATAGCCTGAACCTCGCGGAAGAAGTCGTCGATAATGCCCGGTTGGGTGAGGTTATCCGACTTCAGCACCTTGACGGCCACTGGGATGACCTTGCCCGCCGGCGAAGCACTCCATTCACCACGACGCACCACACCGAAGGATCCGTCACCCAGCTTCAGGCCCATGGTGATGTCCTTTTCGTGGATAAGGCAGGTTAGCTGGGTGCCATTGCCCTGACTGGATTCCCGGGCGGAGGAGGACTGTTTCTTGGACGAGGGCTGCTTGCCGCCGCCGATCAGCTTGGACAGGATGTTCTTGCGCCACTGGTGGGCCTTCTTTTTCCGCACTGCCTCCATCAGCCGCCGAATGGCCGGTTTCCCCAGACCACATCGCTCTAGATCGTCAGGTAACACGTAATCAAAATGAGCCAGCCGGGTCACCTGCAGGTCATCCCGTATCCTGTCCAAGAACTGCTCCAGCTGCACCTCCCGCAGCAGATCCTCCAGCCAGGCCGTCTCACTACTGAGCCCGCCATCCACCACCGACGTGGAGGTCATTTCCTGAAGGCACACAAAACGAAACACAATAAGTTGAAGGCAATCTCAAACACATAGTGATCGGTGAATGAATTGTGGTCAAGGGTACTGGGTTAGTCGCGTAATCGCGTATGTATGTAGGCATGTATAACTTGAATTAAGCGATTAAATGGTCAGGGAACAGAGAAAGTGCGCAACATATATGGACTTCATAAGTAATTCCGTATCTTTTCATTAACAAGAGGTGAAGCAATAAGGTTCATAGCTTTCTGACGCTATATAATATCTAGACAGCAAAGTTTTCAATGGGTTAATAGAAGGTTCGTGGAGTCGGTAATAGTCTTGACTATTCCTGATGTTTAGCTCTATTTACATAGGTAAGTTTTGTATAAAACATCTTATTAAAGGGTTTTACATTTATTTCATTAAAAATTTCATATTAAGCATTACATATTATTAATTCCAAGTGCTCAAGCTCGTCAGTTCATCGGAACTATGCTGGTTTCTAGAGAAACCATTTATTCATATCTATAAGTCCGACATTGCTTGTTGCATCTATGGCTGTTTTCAAGGGGCCAAAGTGGATTTGTGTAAATGTGTCCCCATATGACGTCACGTTGGAAATCCACGTAAACGTATTGCGTCACCCTATGAATTTGTACATAGGAAGAAGTGATAGGTTCGGGATCTCAGGAAATGCGGCTTGAACTCTGGCGCGTGCTGAAGTGGAGTTT